CATGCGGACGCTTCAAAAACTTCGCCTACTCCGAATTGGAATGTACTGTATATGCCACTGCTGTATTTGTTTCTGTGCAACCGAAAAAATCAAAGATTTCAGCTTTCAAAAAAGCGTTACTGTGTTTTTCCCACATAAGTAAATGTGTACTACTAGCCTCTAAAACTACAATCACAGATTTTCAGCTCTCTACAAGCTCTATTTCCTGAGAAATATCAATTTTAACATAAAATACCTTGGCAAAAACAAATTGTATTCCATGCTTCTTGGGAGCAGCGCTTACGGAGTGCTGAAATTTGTGGTTGTACCTTCTGAAGGCTTGTAATACATTTGCCTTTGTGGAAACACAGCTTCGCTTTTTCGGAAGCCTGGAAATTTCAGTTTTCTTGATTTGTAGCACAAAAAAAATACACCGATGGCATATACGAATGTCTTATGTGGAGTGTACATGCGTGAGCGAGCTTGGGATTTGGTGAGCTTTTTCTAAACGAAAACATGAAATCTTTTCAATATTCAGGCATTCAAAACTTCTCAGATTTCGGATTCTAACTCCTGATATAGTGAAGCTCGTGGGAACACTTACATGTCATCTTATAGAGCTTGCATTACTCTATCGAACAACATCCTACATCCTACTTACAAGAAAGTAAGGTTAGTTGGCCTTTTGTTATGACATGAAGACTGCCCTGAAGAGTATAAAACGCTGATTCCAAATTTGCCTTCGTTATCTGCTGCGGGCTCCTGGGCGAGGAGTTACGAAGGTTTTTATGGGCAAAAATTTGCATATGTACATAGGATAAAATCATTAGTAACGTTTTTTGTACGGCTCGAATGATTTCGGACTACACTGTACAATGCATATTTTTAATTTGGGCACATCCACATAACTCTCTACTTCGAAACACTAGGAAAAGTCAACGACTGATTTTACACTGGTCATGAATTGAGTTTTTTGCCCATAAAAACCTTCAAAACTCCCTTCTCAGAAACCCGAAAGCAGGTAAGAAAGTTATACTTGGAATCAGCGTTTCGCACTCTTCAAGTCAGTATGCATCTCTCATACAGAAGGGCCACTTCGACTAACCTTCCTTGTTAGAATTGAGAAGTGTATGACTTAGTGCGCTAAATAGTCAATAAAAAACTTACGAGACTACCCAGTAGAAGCTTCCTGTCACGATTTCGATTAGGAACTCAAAGCATGCGGTTGTCATTGGCTCCAGTTCGCATTTGATTCGATTTTCTTTCATAAGTGTAAAGTCAGTATCCTGATCATTTTCTGACGGTAAAGTTCATTATGTTTGCATTCATCCAAAATTAGGTTCATTCGCACACTTCTGGTCTCTTCGAAAGTGCAATAGTATACAGATACAGCAAGTCATACAATATGCACAACAAAATGCTTTGATTTCAACGGTCAACCAGCAGCGCTTTTACGAAATTTCTCTTTGAGAAGTTCTTTGTCACTAGCTTTTGAGATTTGTGTAACTGAAATATGAACTCTTCGAATTGGCAGTTAGGACTTTTAAAATCAACTGTTATCGGCTTCAGTTATGCAATATTGTGAACTTCTTGCGCTAAGGGATAGATTTCGAGAATAGAAGTAGTTTGGAAGAAAGAACTTCTTTATTTTCTAGGGTTACACCAAATCCACAAACGGGCCAGGGGCATGAGTTTGAAAATTTCAATTGTTTCAAAAGCTGCTCAAGATGTTTGATGAATTAGTTTCAAGGAAATGCACTGAAGAGATTGTAAATGGCTTCATAGTTCAATGCCTAGCCGAAAAATATTTAAGAACAAACTTTCGATTTTTCCGTTTTTGCTTCACAAGAGATCGTACCAACAGGTGACTTTTGCTTTTTTTAGCGGAATTCTCATCTGTTGTGTTGCAATTGATCTCAGTTTTTCCTTATACTGTTGCGTTCTCATCAATCGGTGACTTTTGTGTATATCCAGCGGAAATCTCTGTCACTCACTTTACATTGGCAAATGGTAAGTTTTGTTTATATCATGTTTGCCGAAGTCTTTGTATATGATATGAGAATTCAGGAGCAAGTGCTAACTGGTCAAAACTTATATCCTTCCATCCGGAAATGTTTTATGGATGTCCAGTTCCGACTTGGGATCAGAGTAATGTTACACGTAATGGTATGTATCTTGCGGTCTTTTTCATCATTGCGCTTGGGCTGGAGATGCAAACACTTTCAGCAGCACCAAACACCTTAGTGAGCTATATCTTCAGACATAGTTCTAATATGTGAAAGATTACTAGTATACAATTCACTGGCGCAGAACTGTTTATAATATTCATTCATGTAGCCCATAGATCCCTCCATTCAAAAGTCTGAGATTGTTGAGAATCTCATGCACTCCAGTAGCGAGGCCTCCAATGGAATAAAAAGCTCAATTCCGGGTGCAAAAGGTCTCAAAGCGAGAGAATTACTGTGGCTGTTGTTGGGATCGCCACACCCATCATCGTGTGGCTCAAAGGTGACGAACCCGAAATCGGAGTCATCAGTATTCTAAAAAGTCCAAAATGCTGAAAACGCGTTTTCGACATCTCTAGGCTTTCGAGTTCATCACTTTTGAGCCATCCACATTCATGGGCGTGACGACCCCAGTAGCATCCAACTTCTGCATTATTTTTCTCGCTTCGTAGTGCACTATCTGGGATTTTAACTATCACTCAGTTAGGGATCTCATAATTGCAATGCGTCAGAACCACACTAATCTTAAGTTTCGTATAGACGATGCATTTAATGTATTCTTCAGACGCGTTTGAAAGAGAAATCAAGAAAAGGAAAAGAAACATGTTATTCACAAAGTTACCTTGAATGGGGAAAGCGTTATCCGATGCCATCATCTTCGAATTTCGCGCTCATTTTACCGTACTTCACATCATTATCGGTCTCATATATTTATATAGTCATGGCAAAGAAATTTTCAAAAGAAAAACTTACAGGCTATACTATATTATCATCGATAAACACAAGGATTGAATAAATTTACGGGTGCCCTACTTCCATGGATCGTTTGATGTACCCTAGTTTCACGCGGACGAGGCGCACATTTTTCGATTTTTCAACCAAGCCGCTCAGCCGCTTCACTGTGTGTTGATCGGCCTGTTTGGGCTACTTGATTTTGTAAAAAAAATCGCCCGTGCCTTGTACTCGTGAAATCAGGGTAGTTATAGTTACAGTAAGTTCCAACCCAGTTTAAGCCTGGCTTGGCGGGCGTCCGCTTCGCAACCGTTCGCGCTGTTTTGCGGCTACAGTACCTCATATCGTGCTGAAAGCCCCTGTTTGTTTCTTCATCTTCATTCTTCCTAGTCTTTGCTTGGCAAATTGCCAGCACTATACGCTCGCAAAGCCTCCAGCGATGCGGGCGTGCTGCTTCACGTTAAACATTTCGCCTTAATCGGGTTG